ATATATATATATATATATATATATATATATATAAATAGTGGACATGCTTTTATAAAAAAAAAAGTAAAAATAAAGTGAAAAAGTTGAACTCGGATTACCTGTAATCAACGTATTGTTTCATTTTTAATGTTAAGGGATCGTATCATTTTGGTGCTATCATTGGTTATCAAAGTATTCACTTGAATTTTTTCACCAGGTGTAAAACCTGTCCGATCAAGTGATATTTTGACCCCTATAGAGCCTTGCTTTTGACAGCAGTGCTTCACCGTTGAAATACATTCTGTTTCACAAACTGGCTCCATTGCCTATAATCAAATGTATTTATGTGATAAATTTGTTATCAAAAATCTGTCATCATAAACTTGATACAAAAAAAAAAATTACCAATTTATAAGATTATGACTTAATGATTTATTAAATTTATAAATTAATTCATTTTGAAGATAAACAAACAGAGGCAAAAAAAGAATAACAATAACAACCAATTAATTAAAACAAAGGAAAAATTTAATAACTTATTAAGTTAAACGATATGCATAATTTGTGCTAATATGATAACAAATCTCAGAATCATGATTGTTAATATCCTCAGTACTGATATATCTATATAATTAATGATATACCATTAACATTGGTATGTTAACTTAAGAAATCATAATTTGTTCTGATAATATTCCTCAACATCATGATGATTAACATACTTAATATTGATATCCTCAAATCAATACATTAACTTTTAAAATAAAATGCATAATTTGCATAATTTGGACTGATAATCAATCTTAGGATGATAATATTTATCATATTTAATATTGATATATTCAACTTAATCATGATAAAAGTGTGATATTAACTTGAATAATGCATAATTTACGCTAACCTCAGGATCTTGATTAATATCCTCAATACCGATAACAGTAAATGCTCGTTTTGATACGATATCAACATCCCAAGGACGTTCACATATTGCTTTACATGTATATCGAATAAAACCAAATTCTCCTTCAAACGATGTTGGTAATGTTTTTGGTAAAGTAAATGAAAATGGTATTTCATGCCTTCCATGCGGTAAAATTCGTTCCTAAAAATTAAATAAAATTTTTATTTTCTTTATTTTCTCTTTTCTTTTTATTTTTTATTTTTTGAAAAAAACTAAAAAAAAACAATAAAATTTGTTGCTAACAATAAATTCCAAATTTATCAATTATCTGTTCAAACTTTCAAAAAACAAAATATTATATTAGCATAATTTTTTTTTGTTAAAAAT